GGTGCTGGCATAACTGGATATCCATCTGCAAAAAACTGAAACAAGACCCATACCTCACGCTATGCACAAAAACTAACTCAAAATGGATCAAAGACCTAAATATAGAATCAAAAAAGATAAAGAGCATCGAAGAAAACATGGGGACAATGCTAGGAGCCCTAAAACATGGCATAAACACAATACAAACTATAAGTAACAATGCACAGACACCAGAAGAGAGACTAGATAACTGGGAGCTCCTAAAAATCAAACACTTATGCTCACAAAAGACTTCACCGAAAGAGTAAAAAGACAACCTACAGACTGGGAAAAAAATTTTGGCTATAACAAATCCAGTCAGCATCTAATCTCTAAAATCTACAACATACTGCAATGCCTCAACAACAAAAAGACAACTCACCCAATTAAAAAATGGGCAAAGGATATGAACAGGCACTTCGCCAAAGAAGATATTCAGGCGGCTAACAGACACATGAAGAAATGCTCACAATCATTAGCCATTAGAGAAATGCAAATCAAAACTACAATGAGACACCATCTCAGCCTAACAAGGCTAGCATTAATCCAAAAATCACAAAATAATAAATGCTGGAGAGGTTGTGGAGAGACTGGAACACTTATACACTGTTGGTGGGATGTAAAATGGTACAACCACTTTGGAAATCAATTTGGCACTTCCTTAAAAAGCTAGAAATAGAAGTACCATACAATATAGAAATCCCGCTCATTGGAATATATCCTAGAGAAATAAAAGCCATCACACAAATAGATATATGGACATCCATGTTCATTGCAGCACTGCTCACAATAGCGAAAAGATGGAAACAATCTAGGTGCCCATCAATGGACGAATGGATAAACAAATTATGGTATATTCTTTCACACAATGGAATACTACCCAATGATAAAGAACAATGATGAATCCATGAAACGTAACATGGAGGAATTTGGAATTCATTATGCTGAGTATATTTAGTCAGTCACAAAAGGACAAATATTGTATAAGACCACTATTATAAGAACTCAAGAAAAGGTTTAAACAAAGAAAACATTCTTTGATGGTTAGGAAGTTGGGGATGGAGGAAGAGGTCTATTCACTAACTAGACAGTAGACAAGAATTATCTTAGGTGAAGGGAAGGACAGCACACACTGCAGGGAAAGTCAGCACAACTGGACTAAACCAAAGCTAAGAATTTTCCTGAATACAACTAAACACTTCGAGGGACAGAATAGCAGGGGCAGGAGTCTGGGGACCATGCTTTCAGGGGACATCTAGGTCAATTGGCATAACAAAGTTTATTAAGAAAATGTTCTGCATCCTACTTTGGTGAATGGTGTCTGGGGTCTTAAAAGCTAGCAGCAAGCCACCATGTAAGAGGCATCAATCGGTCCCAACCCACCTGGAGTAAAGGAGAGTGAAGAACACCAAAGACACAAAGGAAGTATTAGCTCAAGAGACAGAAAGGACCACATAAACCAGAGACTGCATCAGCCTGAGACCAGAAGAACTAGATGGTGCCCAGCTACCACTGATGACCACTCTGACAGGGAACACAACACAGAGTCCTTTATGGAGCAGGAGAAAAGTAAGGTGCAGAACTCAAATTCTAGTAAAAAGACCAGAATTAATGTTTTGACTGAGACTGGAGGGACCCCAGAAAGCATGGCCCCTGGACTCTCTGTCAACCCAGAACCAAAAGCATCCCTGAGGCCAACTCTTCAGACAAAGATTAGACTGGACTATGGGACATAAAATGATACTCGTGAAGGGTATGCTTCTTAACTCAAGTAGATACATGAGACTAAATAGGCAGCTCCTGTCCAGAGGTGAGATGAGAAGGCTGAGGAGGTCAGGTGCTGGTTCAATGGAGACGGGAAATCAGGGGTGGAAAGGAGGAGTGTGCTGTCCTAGACTAGGGAGAGCAATTAGAGTCCCATAACTATTTATAAATTTTTGTATGAGAGACTAACTTGAATTGTAAACTTTCACTTAAAGTACAACAATAAAATAAGAAGATAAAATACAACGAAGTAACACTATGCAAATGCTACTTAGAAATATGAAGGTGTGCCAAAAGTAAAACCTAAGTGTGTCATTAAATGATTGTTTCTGAGTAGCATTAATTGGGATAGGGAGTCATGGGATGAGGATTGCTGTTTTTAGTTATAAGACATAACAGAATTTTGATCTTTTGAGCTATGTCTACAGACATCTTCAATAAAAATTGGGGAAAAAAATTTCAAAAAAACTGAATTCTTGGACAAGACATATCATCCAAAGATTTCTGGATACATCCCTCAATCGCCTGAGGTTTAAGCATTTGAAAAGAAAAGATACAAAGTCTCACAGGTCTTTTCTGTTTTCCCTTCTGTTATATCCCCCTTCAGAGGCTATGCGCATGGAACTCACAGAAGAAAGGAAAAGAGAAAAATACAGAGGAAAAATCCAACAAAGGCTAATGTATCCTCCAAGATCCCGGCAGGACATAGATGACTCACTCAAGGGTTCATTACAGAGCATTTAACGGAGGGATTATTTAAAAGAGTAACAGCAAGACAAAGGAAACCAATGAAGGATGAGGAAATACCAAAAGAGTAGAAATAGCAGGATAGTCATTATAACCCCAAGTCCCATAGAGAAAAGCAGAGAGTAGATACCAGAATGTCCCAAGGACCAGAGCTATTGGATGGGGATACACGTAAGAAGCAGTTACTTGAGATAAAGGAACAGAGCCACTGGGATTCTGTGGTCCAGCTGGGGTGTTGGAAGGCATTCCTGCCATCTGTTCTCCTGATTATTGACAAGTTTAACTTATTTTCAAAAAAGCAAAATTTGTAAACCATCTTCCCCTTTTTTATGAAGTAATAGAAACTAAAGATCTGCCGCTACTTTCAATTTAGACACAGACAAATATAAAATAAGGAGAAATCATCTACTGTACGAAATACAATAAAGGCAAATTTATTCCATTTAAAATTATCCCAGTTACAATGTTTTTCACAGGTGAAGCTTGTGCTTTTATAGCAGTCAGTGCAGAATTCAACAACAAATTCCAGAAACATGGAGCAAAACCTTTATGAATGTTCCAGATATAGCTGATGCTTTTATGAAGGTGATTTAAGCAGATTATTTCACTGAAACCATATTTTCATGGCTCCTATCATTTTCTACTACTTACATGTTGGTTGGCCACCCCATTACATGAGAATGTGGACCTGTGGACATGGTCAGTATGGCCCACAGAGCCCCAGGCTAGGAGTCAGAAGGCCTTTGTTAAGTGCAGGCTGTCTGTTAAACTAGCTGTGCTCATCAGTAACAGTTTCTAGGTTTCACCTGTATCAACCACAAAATGAATGAGTTGTACTAAATGAATGCTTGAGTCCTTCCCAGCTCTAAACTTCCAGATGCCTCCTAACTTCTCCAGGATCTCAATGACTAATTACTCCCGTATTCTAATACAACACTGATATTCCTAAATGTTTTATTTAACTTTGTTATTATTCATCTCAAACACTTAATTGATGTCCACTGTCTAACAAATCAGGTCTCCTTAAATACACACAGTGGGGCCGAAAATATGAATTCCTCAACTACATTTCAGGGCTCAGTTCTCACTACTCTGCTACTGGAAGCCTGTTTCGGCAGAATTGGCCTCTAGTGACTGTTCTCTGCTGTCCTGTCCCTTCCCATGCCAGTGTCTCCTCCACTTAGGTAGATTTCTCTTAATTTGGAACCCAAATAAAGAAAAGGAGATGTTATATGAAAATGAACAGGAAACATAGACCTCTCATTTCAGCACTCTAATTCTTCTTTTGAATTCAATACTTTCTTGTTCTTCTTGAGTGTCAAATAAAAATACACATGTTAATAGAGATTATATTAATTCTGTATTTGTGATGTAGTTTGAGCCTTGAGTATACAAAGTGTTACTTGACAAAGGACTTAATATGTATAATGGTTTGATGGCTGTCCTTGCTGAAATGGAGGCAACCCCTCACCATGCCAGCAGCTTACAATCTTACAAGTTTAATTAATGTAGCCCCCTGGGAGCCTGGACTGTCTGCTGTCATTGTAGGTTACTTTCTCCTCTTCCCCTGCAGGCTTCCGTCTGGGCTCCACTGTGAGGTCTGAAACCAAGGGCATCTGGATGTGGTGCGTACCTCACCCTTCTAAGCCAGACCACACCCTGATCCTTCTGGACACTGAGGGCCTGGGTGATGTGAAAAAGGTAAGGCAGGGAGTCATGGAGAAATCTTTTTTCCACTTGATTATCTACTTACCTTTTAATTCACTGTCTTAATTCGCTTTTGTGACATATTCCTTCAAATTGCAAATTCAAACTCTTAAGTAACGAGGTTATATTCTGTTTTATTGAACTATTTCTTTGGTGACTGAAACATTTTGATATATTTGGAATAAATATTATTACTTTTAACATGAGAGTTAATGATTTAACAAATACTTATTGAGCAGCTGAATTCCAGGGCTCTGTGATAAGTACTAAAGACACAGAAGTGAACAAGGTAAAGGTCTAGGACCTAGTTGGGAGACAACAGGTACACAGTGAGATCAGCACAAAGTTCCATGGAAGTACAGAACTGGGCACCTAACTCAATCAAACATGTTAAAGAAAAGTTCTTGTGTAAAATGGCATTTAAACGTAGCCTGAGAGGTCAGTGGGAGCTGCCAGTTAAAGCCTGTGGGGTTAGTGGTGATTTACAGTAGAAGCCATGAAAATATGGTTCCAGTGAAGTAATCTCCTTTAATCACCTTCATAAAAGCATCAGCTACATCTGGAACATTCATAAAGATTTCGCTCCACATTTCTGAAATTTGTAGTTGAATTCTTCACTGACTGCTATAAAAGCATGAGCTTCATCCATGAAAAACATTTTAACTGGATAATTTTAAATGAGATAAATTTGCCTTTATAGTGTTTGGTACATCAATCATTTCTCCTTATTTTATATTTGTCTGTGTCTAAAATGAAAGTAGCAGCACATCTTTAGTTTCCATTACTTCAAAAAAAGGGGAAGGATGGTTTACAAAGTTTGAATTTTGAAATTAAGTTTTAAACTTCTCAACAATCATTTCAGTATAAAATCAAGATATACTCTATACCTGTTTGGTTTTATCTAAATTATAATTATTCAAGGAGCCAAAACATACCACACTTTAAAAAACTAATGGCAGTAGAAATACTATGTGCAACCTTAGAATTTGTGGTGTAAATGGAATAGTGTCTAATTCTATTAGCCTCGCCTTTACTGTCGTTCTTGTCTTGCATTGAGTCTCATTTCCAGCCTTGTCTTCCAGTCCCACATACCTACCCACAGCTTCAGTCAAATGGAATAACTATAAACTCCTTTATAGGATTGTGCTTTCTAACATTTTTTACTTAGTTTGTGTTGGTCCTTCCACCTGCATGTTCACATCATCTCTACAAGTCTGCATTCTATCCACTCTTTAAAGTCCAATTATTTTTAACCTACTGTCATCATTTCACAAAGAGATAAAGTATCTTTCTGCTCTCAACTCACAGGATTCTTGTTTTAGTCTATTAAACTTACCCCTTCTTCTCTCACATAATATCTGTTGGTTTCACTCCTGACAGAGATTATTATCTTAGCTGCAGTTGTATGTTTTCCTATTTATCTGCTCACTCAGACTGTCTTCTTGAGGGCAGAGAATGACGTATGGCACTTTGCATTCACACATCCAAACGCAGTGCTTTGGGATCATGCCTTGGATCAGGGGAATCTTAGTCATGAAAGTAACATCTGTGCTATTGAAAAGTTTAAAGAGGTTTTTTGCATCATATTTGACCAAGACAATACATAGTTTGTTTTCTTGACTGTTACTTCCTGGCCATTGATTTTTGATCCAAGTAGAATGAAATCCTTGACAACTTCAATTTCTTCTCCATTTATCATGAGTTCTTTTTTATCATGAGTTCTTTTTTTTTTTTTTTTTTTGAGTTCAGGTGTAATCCATATTGAAGGCTGTAGTCTTTGACCTTCATCAGTAAGTGCTTCAAGTTGTCTACATTTTTGGCAAACAAGATTGTATCGCTTGCAAATTGGAGGTTGTTCATGAGTCTTTCTCCAATCCTGAAGCCGTGTTCTTTTTCATATAGTCCAGCCTCTAGGATTATTTGTTCAGCATACAAATTGAATATTTTGACCATACTGTATTGACTTGTTCTGTTCCAACAACTGCATACTGATCCACGTACAGATTCCTTATGAGCACAATTAATTGTTCTGGAATTTCCTTTTTTGTCATGTTATCCATGCTTTGCTATGGATCACACAGTCAAATGCCTTCATGTAGTTAAACACAGGTAGACATCTTTCTTGTATTGTCTGCTTTTGGCCAAGATCCATCTGACAACAGTAATTACATCCCATGGTCGACAACCTCTTCTGAATCTGGCTTGAATTTCTGGCAGTTCTCTGTCAATGTACAATTGCAGTCATTTTTTAATTATCCTCAGAAAAATTTTTCTAGCATGTGATATTAATGATATTGTTCAACATTTTCCACATTCCATTTGTTTACCTTTCCTTGGAATGGGCATGATATGGATCTCTTCCAGTCAGTTGGCCAGGTACCTAAGTAAGTGCTTCCAGTGCTGGAAATTTCATGACGTAGCTGAGTAAGTGCTTCCAGCTTTGCATCTTCTGTGAAGCATAACAACTGGTGTTCTGTTAATTCCTCGAGCCTTGTTTTTCACCAAAGCCTTTGGTGTGGCATGAATTTCTCCATTCATTACTAGCAGTTCTTGATCATATGCTACCTCCTGAAACGGTTAAAGGTCAACCAATTCTTTTTGGTACAGTTAATCTGTGTATTCCTTTCATCTTCTTTTGATGCTTCCTGTGTCATTCAGTTTTTTGCCCATAGACTCCTTCAGTATTGCAACTTGAGGCTTGAGTTTTCTCTTCAGTTCTTTCAGCTTGAGAAATGCCAACTATGTTCTCCCTTTCAGTTTTCTAACTCCAGATCTCTACACATTTCATTGTAAGACTTTACCTTGTCTCCTAGAGCCATCCTTTGAAATCTGCTGTTCAGCTATTTTACTTCATCATTTCTTCTGTTCACTTTAGCTTCTCTGTGCTTAAGAGCAAGTTTCAGAGTCTCTTCTAACATCAGTTTTGATCTTTCATTCTTTCCTATCTTTTTAATGACCTTTTACTTTCTTCATCTATGATGTATTTGATGTCATCCCACCCATCTTCTGGTCTTCGGTCATTAATGTTCAGTGTGTTTAATCTTGAGATGGTCTCTAAATTCAGATAGGATGTATTCAAGGTCATACTATGGCTCTTGTGGACTTGCTTTGATTTTCTTCAGCTTCAATTTGAACTTGCACATGAGCAATTTATGGTCTGTTCCACAGTTGACCCTTGGTTTGTATTGACTGATGATATTATTCTCCATCACTTATTTCCACAGATGTAGTTGATTTGAGAGGCCCCTGGATGGTACAAATGGTTTGAGCTTGATTTGGTAACCAAAAGGTTGATGGTTTGAACCTACCCAGTAGCACCACTGAAGAAATGTCCTGGTGATCTGCTTCTGTTAAGATTACAGCCAAGAAAATCCTAGGGAGCTCAGTTCTACTCTGTAACACATGAGGTGACCATGAGTTGGAATCAATTCAACAGTGTAAGACAACAACAGTCAATTTGATTCCTGTGTAACCTATCAGGAGAGGTCCACTATATAGTTATTCAGTGTGTGGTTGAACCTTCTTCTCTTTTTCCAACATCTGCATTCAGATCACCAGAAATTTCAGTGCAGCTTGATTGAACATTTGATCAATTTCAGACTGTAGTAATTCATTAAAATCTTTAATTTCTTCATTTTGTCATTCTAGGGAGACACTAAGAATGACTCCTGGATCTTTGCACTGGCCGTGCTTCTGAGCAGCACCTTTGTCTACAACAGTATGGGCACCATCAACCAACAGGCCCTGGAGCAGCTACAGTATCCTTCCAAGAACTTAGCCACCTTGTTTTATTAAGTTTACAGAAATGGCAACTGAGGTTATTTCTTCCTTCTTGTGTCTTAATTGTCATGGCTGAAGAGGTGGAGATACAGGACAGAAGTTAATGTTTACAAAATTTATTTCTAAATAAGATCTGGAAATTGTGGTGTAGGGCACGTCTCCTTCCTTAACTTAGTTTCTAGCTATGTGACTGAATTAACAGAGCTAATCAGGACAAAATCTTCCTCCGGAACTGAAGAAGTAGATGACTCCACCGAGTTTGTGGGTTTTTTTCCAGACTTTATTTGGACTGTACGGGATTTCTCCCTGGAGTTGAAGATAGATAAAAGCCCCATCACTGAAGATGGGTACCTGGAGGATGCCTTGAAGCTGATTCCAGGTATCAGAGCATGGCCTAGATGGCGGAAGATTAATAAGGAGTGGGATCAACTGAGCCTTGTTATTCAGCACTGGATCTCAATTTTTATTTGAAACTCAGTTGAGACCCATGCTAATGGTGATTGGTGATTTTTTAATGGTAATTGGTGATTGGTTTTTGTCGATCATTATTACTTGAAAAATCCACCAATTGACATTAAAGCTCCCTGAGGAAATTTAAGGCTCAATGCTGAGCTAAATGAATTGAGACCAATTGATGCCATGAAAAAAAAAAAATCCAGATTATAATCAGTGCTATAACTTCCTAAGGCCTGTATACTTGAGTTCCTTATTAAGTGCTCCATTTGTTCTATGTTGCTAAAAATAGCTCATCAGATTAAAAGTTCTAAATATCAAATCACAATGAAATTAAATGATCTAATTTTTAAAGTATATACCATGATGCATATTTTACCAATGCCAAGAGAGCTGCCTCTTTCAGAGAAAGGATATTTAGACCCTAAATGTTCTAGGAAAAAAAATTGATATATCCTTCCAGTAAGACTTTCAAATCCTTCATTTTACCTTTCTTTCAACGTTACCCTCTTTTACAGCCTTACACATTATATTATCATGTTAATATTATAAATTTACTACATGGATTATCTTTAAGAGGGTGGATAACTAATAACAACTGGAAGGAATACCATTTATTCATTTTAGCAGCAAACATTTACTGCACAACTGATATTTGCCACAGAATCACTCTGAAAGGTACTGCAAAGTGTAAAACCTCCTTGCAGCAAAAAAGTTGGCCTTTGTGCTGGTTCCTGAGAGCTTGACCACACCTGAGGCCAATGATTGGGGGCTGATGAGCTCAACAGGGCTCATCTGGAGCCAACGATGCATGAGGCATGATGTTGATGTGCTGAGGCATGCTGTAATCTAGCATGGCCATTTGGTGAGGCCTATAAGAGCCCTAGCCCTGAAGCTCAGAGAAAGCTTCCAGGTTGGAGAGAGTGAACATTCTCCTGTGCAGACAGTAGACCATCCCCTAGGGGAATGGAAGTTCTACACCAGGATCCATCCCAGGCCCCTCCCTATGCATCTCTTTATTTGTATCCTATCTGGTTATAATAAAGAGGTAGCTGTAAGTATAGATGCTGCTCCATGAATTTTGTGAGTCATTCTAGGAAATTATCAAACCAACAGGGGCAAAGAGCAGCAAGCAGATCAGAGTATGGGTGTTATGTGGACTCCCAAACTTTCAGCTAGCATCCTGAAGGGATAATGGGAAGCTAGCCCTGATTAGTGGCAGCCAGCAGGTCAGAAGGGTGAGGTATCAGGTGAAACCTCAACCTTGTGACTAGCATCCTGAAGGGGTATTGAGAAACCAGCCACATATCTGTGGCCAGGAGGGCAGAAGATGGTGGCCTGTGGCCTCCCCAAGCTTGTAGCTGGCATCTGCCTATTTGGTGGTCTAAAAGGGACAGGGTGCCTTTAACTAGTGAGTCTGTGACCTAACTCTCAGATGAGAATGAGTGTGCCTCTAGATCTGATGGCAATGAGGAAGAAGTGTGAAGTCGAGGGACTGGATCTTTTTCCAGGTGGGAACTGGATTCATACTGTTCCTGACCATGCAGTTAGCAAACCGGGGGAGGTACCCATCATGTCATTTGCTTTTGCTTGTTAGTGCAGGTCTTTTCATGTCTGATACTATATGATATAGGGAAATGGTGAGGTTTCCAAATTACATTAGTTTAACCTTAAGCTTTTTGGAAGTTTCTACTATCGGTATCCCTAAATATTTATAATGTTTGTATTTTTTGAGCTCTGATTTTTTAAAGTTTTTATTACTCATCTCTCCTATGCCTGATATTTTCACAAGTAATATCTTAACCTTGTTTCTGGTATTACTTCGTTTTAGGGCCCAAATTTTATTTCTGATATGTGGATCAATATGATCACAAAAGTACTTCTGACAATTTTTTTCATTAGTCAGTCAGTCAATAAGCCTTAATTAAATACTGAATCCACCAGACTCCATACATGTGCTGATAAAAACCACACATAAGATTTTTCACTTGGGATGAATGCTTCCCCTTCCTCTCCAGAAACACTTCCTTATCTCTTTGCTCTGTACAGAAATGGATTTTTGTTGCATTTGATAGACTAGCACAAAATTGATTTGCCATGAGGTACCACAGGACTGGATTAAAAAGATTTACAGGCACAGAAGCTGCAATGATGCAGAAATCACAGGAAATATAGTGGACAGCGCTTTTGCTTGAAGGCCATCCCTTCAATGATTACTCTTTTTCCACTTCAGCAGGCAGGAATCCCAAAATCCAAAATTCCAACTTGCCTAGAGAATGTATCAGGCGTTTCTTCCCAAAACGGAAGTGCTTTGTCTTTGACCGGCCTACAAGTGACAACAGTTTCTTATACCAGATTGAGGAAGTGCCAGAACACCAGTTGGATTGTAATTTCCAGATGAAATTAAAAAAGTTCCGTTCCTATATCTTCAGCCATGCAAAGACCAAGACCGTGAGAGAGGGAATCATTATCACTGGGAAGCGTGAGTCACCTTTGTCCCAAAGCATGCCTCTCTGTTGATCAGTGTGTGTACAGCTGTGATTGTTCTGTGAGTTTGTCAGTTTATGTCATTTGCATCTGTATGTGAATGTGGAGAATCAGATGTTCATGCCACACATAGAAATGCATGTTTCTTAATTAAAGTTTCCATATCCGAGAGTTTCATAAAGTCTAATATATCTGAAAATCCACATCCACTAATTATGAAAAGAAAAAATGAAATTAAAGAGTGAATGTCTGCGTTGTGAGGAGAAGTCCTATGGGATAAGTGCTTCTCAGTGAGGGTAGAGAAGATACGTTGTGAATTTACACAGGTCAGAAAATACATAGAGACCATGAGTCCCTACAAACCCCTTGAGACTTCAAGAAACAAAATTAAATATAATCTTATGTACTGGGCTGTCTTCATGGCCCTGTGACCTTGTGAAGCCACGTGGTGCCTCACTTTCCGAAGGGCTCCAATGTCAGAAAGAACCTATGCTTGGTGCAATGCTTTGTGTCACTATCATCAAATTCTTGATGTTTTTATTTTCACTAGGAGTCCCACGTTTTCATTTTGTACTGAGCCACACAAATTATATATCTGGTCTTATTTATGAACTTGACTTCACCTATCTAATCTACGCCTTTTTATTTTGTTTGGTGGGAAAATATATTTTCAGGATACCCCAGAGCATATTGGCTGTGATCAGTAATTTTAATTATAATGAGATGAATGGGGAAACAAAAATGAAAGAGTGGACAGGAAAACAATGATGTTTTTAGGTGGAAATGAATTCACAAAAGAAGAAAATAAATGAAAGTTCATTGTAATCAGTGCTTTTATGATTTTTAGAACGCAGATTCTTAAAGCTTGTAAACTATTGGGTGAGAACTTGATTTTATACATAAATTTTCTGGCTCATTCAGGACTGGCGACTCTGGTGGAAACCTATGTGAATACCATCAACAGTGGAGCAGTACCTTGTTTGGAGAACGCAGTGACAACTTTGGCCCAGTGTGAGAACTCGGTGGCTGTGCAGAAGGCAGCTGACCACTACAGCAAGGAGATGGCCCAGTGCCTGAGGCTTCCCACAGACACGCTCCAGGAACTGCTAGATGTGCACGCGGCCTGTGAGAGGAAAGCCATTGCACTCTTCATGGAGCACTCCTTCAAGGATGACAAGAGGGAATTCCAGAAGAATCTCTTGGTACTTTGTCTTAGTATTTATCCTTCCTAATGCCTGTCTTTCTGAAATGATGCCTGGAGTCCACCTTTTTGACCCCATAGCTCATTTTGTTTTCATTGTAGGAGGAGCCTGGATTCTTGTGAGTGACAAGGCTCTGCAGGACTGCAGTTCACCCTTTTTCTAAAAGATGGACACTTTATTAATTTTCTATTGCTACAAAACAAATTACCATGTACTTAGCAGCTTAAAACAACACACATTTATTGGCTCACAGTTCTTTAGGTCAGAATTTCAGTGCAAGATGTCTGAACTCTCTGCTCAAGGAATCCACAAGCTGAAATCAAGGTGGCGACTGGGCGTAGTTCTCATCTGAAGACTATGGGGAGCCTCTAAGCTCATTCAGGTTGTTGGCAGAATCCAGGTCCATGGAGTTGTAGGACTGATGTCCCAATTCTCTTAATGGCTGTCACCAGGGAGGGGGAACCCTTATATTCTAGAAGCCACTTTGGGACCTTTCCACGTACCCTCCTCCACAGTCAAGCCAGCAATGGTGCATAGAATCTTTTTCTTATTTTTAATATCTCCACTTCCTCTTCTGCCACTAGCTGGAGAGAACTCTCTGTTTTTAAAGTTCTTGTGTAATTAGGAAATGCCCACCCTGGTAATCTGCACTTCTTAGAGTCAACATAAACAAACAAAAAGAGCAATATTCAGTTAACAGCCCCAGAGGCAGTGCAGAGTGTGGGCACCACAGCAGAGAAATTTGAAGGAAATCTTATTTCTGCTTACCATAGGAACTGAAATGCCATCTTTCAGTTTGCCTGTAACTGCCCTAAAATGACAAAAATCTTAGTTCATATTGAGGAAAATCAACTGGATAGTAACTTACAAGTTCAAGTAAAAAAATTTCTATCCTAAAGCTTCACACACCAAAAGCCTCATTAAAAAAATTCATGAAGGGTTCCAAACCCTGTTCAGCCTATGCTAAAAGTCATGACTAAATGGGTTGCTTTTTATATATACATTTTCATCTGTAGCAACGTAAGTTCTCAGAAGAAACTCTACTTCCATCAGAGTTCACTGTTGCTCATTTTTGATGGTAGGATCACTGTTAATCATCCTACAGCTGAAGGAACCAGGGAGTTCATGTTGTGCACAACCATCATTTTACGTATGTTGAACCATTAGGGATTTCAGAACGTTCCAAAAAACACACGGAGAATTGGTCAGATCTGGGACTAACACATGTTTCCTGATCATAGTCTTTTCTATGTCCTGTTCCACTCTGAGACTGTCATGCTGCTTCTTCCAAGAGGACCATAGTTGGACCAGTCCTTCTAACAGCTTCTTTCCATTGTATTTCTCTACGTTTCCCTACAGGACATCATAGGGGAGAAGATGGAGGATTTTGTGCTACAGAATGAAGAGGCATCTGACAAATACTGCCAGGCTGAGCTTAAGCAGCTTTCAGAGCCCCTGATGGAAAATATTTCAAGAGGTATTTTCTCTGTTCCTGGAGGACACGCTCTCTACTTAGAAGCAAAGAAAAAGGTTGAACAAGACTATGCACAAGTGCCCAGGAAAGGAGTTAAGGTGAGGAATAAAGGACTAGGGGAAAGGCCAGCAGAGCAGAGGCAGAAGGTCTAAGGTCACAACACCTATTGTGGGGAGAAAGCAGAGCATAACTATTTCCTAACAGTTTTAGTTTTTATATCCACAATTAGTTATATACTCTAGAGGAGACCAGAACTATTTTTTTTCCCAAAGAAAGGATTTAGAATTAGGAATCCAGAAGAAAGGGAACATTTCTTTCATTTATCAAGCAATATGATAGTTTTTCTTCCTCATACAGGTGATATAAAGATTTCAGACTCAATTTCGTTTGTAAGGTGCTTAATATCGCATCTGAAAAAAAGACAAATATATAGGCAATTGAATATGGCATTCTAAGAGTTATCATATTAGCATGCACAGAATATGATGATGATGATGGCTAACGCATATTGAGTATTCACTTTCTTTATTGGCACAGCCTTAGGTGCTTTTGTTGGATTATTAATTTAATCCTAACAATAATATTATGAATTAGGTACTATTTTTATCCATATTATACAATTGAGAAATGCGATGCACAGAGAAGTTAATAAGCTGCCAGAGTCACACAGTCAGCAGGTGGTAGAGCTGGTAGGGCAGCTCAGAGTATTTGGCAGCCAATACAATTTGGGAAGGCATCCTAGGAAAACATCCTACAAGAGGAGGTAGGAGATACCAGTAGAAACATTGATAGATGTTATCCTTGTTGATAATAGGTAAGATAGTATACAGGCAGAAGAAAAAGACTGTGAAAATATATAAAAACAATAAATGTCATATGTTTGTAGAACTGGTTGACTGTTTCCAGGGATGAGCAGTGGCATCTGGGAGAGGAGGCTGCACAGCTAGGAATGAGGCCGTGTTGAGGGTTTTCATGTCCCAAAAATGGGCTTGGAATTTATACTATGGCCACAGTAAAAAAGGAAATACTAGGTGATTCTAAGCAGGTTGCAAATTTTATTGGGTCAGATTTTTAATTTTATTGAACAACAAAGTCCCAACAAGAAGCTAGATCTTTGTTGCCTGACATGTTTTTGCTCCTTGTTGGTTCCTCAGGCAAACGAGGTCCTCCAGACATTCCTGCAGTCACAGGCAGCAATAGAAGAATCCATCTTGCAGTCAGACAAAGGCCTCACGGATGCAGAGAAGGCCATAGCAGGTACAGGGGCAGGACTCAGTTCACAGGCAGGGGGGAGGTTCCTGCAATGCCCTCTGACAGATTTGACAGGAAGATCTTCTGAAACAATGAGCTTCCTCTCCTGAAGAATGCGAACTGTGCACAATCTGAAAATAATGAGGGGAGTTGAGGTTGTACATTCACCCAGGCAGGCAGGACCTTTCTCATTACATTCTGAAAATGTCCTTGGTGGTGAAGACACGGGTAGAGTTAGAGATTTCAAACCTTCCTTTCAATTAAGTGTCTCTAATCTCAGGACAGCACAGCACAGGCATTGACTGTCTTTTATTCCCTCTCTACAACCTTCATGGGGCAGTGGAGCAGGCCAAGAAGGAGGCAGCTGAGAAGGAACAGGAGCTGCTAAAACATAAAAACCAGGAGCAGCAGCAAAAGATGGAAGCTCAACAGAGAACTTTCCAGGAACACATAGCCCAACTGGAAATGAAGATAAAGAAAGAAAGAGAAAACCTCCTGAGAGAGCTGGAAAGGATACTGGAGCATAATCTGAAGGTAAGTTTTACTTGGGTCTGGGTAGTGCCTGAAGTACAATGCCCTGGTACCTCAGGAAGAGAAGGACCATAATTTGAAGCAAGTCATGATCTCAGAAAGAAGCACATAATGGATACGATTCACTAAAACCTCAAATTCATCCGGATCATGCTGAATACATAACCCTGCAGCACGTTCTGTAGTTTTAGTTTTTTAGAAGACAGATAACATCCCCTGGGGTGTTGGGCTGCTATTTGTGGTGATTTTAGGATGGTCTCATTATGATCCAATTTAACAGGGCTTTTGATCTATAGTCTCAAAGCCCTTAGAATCTTGGGTAAAACCTCCAGGAGACCTCAAATAGATTCATATGCTCTTGAAAGTATTAGACGTGACCTGATATGAAATAGAGTAGCTGAAGCTCTAAAACTTGCTGCATTTGTTTCTATATATGCCTGAGTCACCCTATAAAATGAGGAGAATTCTTTCCTTGACCCAACATGGAGCTTGAAAACAAGTGTTATCTAATAGGGTCAGTAGTTCCCATTATTCTAACAAAGATGTATGTGGCCGTGCTCTCTCAAGTAGAACCAAAAATTATTTCACACCAAACCTACATTTCCTCCTAAAGGGCATCATTTGGGCTGGAACACATTCCGGGGACCTTTCTCAGGCTTGACCTAGCCTTGAGCCTCGCCACCCTCAGTGAGATGATGCTGGGGGAATTTTGAGAAAGGAGCCCTGGTGGCGCAGTGGTTAAGCGCTTGGCTGTTAACCAGAAGTTCAGCAGTTGAAACCCACCAGCCACTCCATGGGAGAAAGATGTGCAGTCTGCTTCTATAAAGATTTACAGTCTTAGAAACCCTATGGGAAGTTCTACTCTGCCCTGTAAGATCACTATGAGTCGGAACCGACTCGACGGCAACAGGTTTTGTTTTTGGTATAGACCATGAATACTCTCACTATCCAGATCCAAACTATGTAGACATTGCATAGCTCCATCAAAGAGCCCTCTAATGTTGTAGAGAAACAGATACATTCACTTACACCTGATGAAGTTGTAAAGACAAAATCCAGACTTTTCATAATTGGTTTTTCAAAAATTACTCTTTCCCCTCTATAGATCCAAGAAGAACTGCTTATGCAAGGATTTAGAAAGCAATATGAGAAGTTAAAGAAAGAGACGGATCGACAACAAGAAGAGTATGAAAAAACTAAGAACAATGAACGCTCATGGTTTTCACGGCTCCTTGAGGAGGCTTTCAGAGCACTATCTACAGTATCACTTCAGGACCTTGAGCTATTCGCTGAAATAATGAAATATCTCAGCTTACTTAATAAATGAGCTTAGAATTCCTGTTGAGGAAATTTGATAATGAGCCTTCTTTTGTTATGTTGTAGCTCATTTTGTGTATATCTGTTATATTAATTTCATTTAAAAAACTTTAAAAATAAAAAGTGATTACTAAACAAGAGCAGGAACTGCCATAGCAAAATACAAACTTAATTTTGATGAAATTAATTTAAAGAAATGGGGAACAATAGTTAAAAGATGTAATGGAAAAAAAAAACCAAATCTGCAATTAGCAACAAAACATACGAAATATTGTAGAATATAATTATCAAGAAGTATATAAAATTTGGGGGACATCTAGGTCAATTGGCATAACAAAGTTTATTAAGAAAATGTCCTGCATCCCACTTTGGTGTGTGGCATCTGGGGTCTTAAAAGCTTGCAAGCAGCCATCTAAAATGCATCAATTGGTCCCTACCCAATTGGAGCAAAGGAGAATGAAGAACACCAAAGACACAAGGAAAATATTAGCCCAAGAGACAAAGGTCCACATAAACCAGAGACTCTACAGCGTGAGACCAGAGGAACTAGATGGTGCCCAGCTACCACCAATGACACCCTGACAGGGAACAAAACAGAGAGTCCCAGAAGGAGTGGGAGAAAAGTGTAGAGCAGAACTCAAATTCATGTAAAAAGACCAGAGTTAATGGTCTGACAGAGACTGTAGGAATCCCCAAATCTACTGCCCCTGGACACTCTGTTAACTCAGAACTAGAACCATTCCTGAAGCCAACTCTTCAGACAAAGATTAGACTGAACTATATAACAAAAAATAATACTGGTAAGGAGAGTTTTTCTTAGTTCAATCAGATACACGAGAACAAATGGGAAGCTCCTGTCCAGAGGCAGCATGAGAAGGCAGAAAGGGATAGGAACTGGTCGAATGGACACAAGAAACCCAGGGTGGAAAGGGGGAGTGTGCTGTCACATTGTGGGGACTGCAACTAATGTCACATAACAATATATGTATAAATTTTTATATGAGAAATTAACTTGAGCTGTAAACTTTCACCTAAAGCATGTTAGAAAAAAAAAAGAAAAAAACAAATTTACATTAAAATTGATTAATTTTTTGACAAGGTTTGGAATTCCTTAATAAAAGTCACTTGGAAAAAAAAGTATGTAAAATTCTTATGAAAAAATATTTAAAATATTAGTAGAAAGATGTAAAAATCTATAAAAATGGATGAAATAAAATGTCAATATGCTATAACCAACATACACATTTTATGTGATTTAAATAAGTATGTCACACATATTTTTGGAAGTAGACAAGTTGAAGTTAAAATTTATATGGAAAACCACAAATAAAAATCTCCAGTGCAATTAGAAAAAAAATATGATTAATGTCATGGATTGAATTATGTGGCCAAAAAATGTGTGTATCAATTTGGCTGGGCCATGATTCCGGTAGTGTGTGATTTTCCCATGTGTGGTAAATCCTGCCTCTATGATGTTAATGAGGGAGGATGGGCAGCAGTTGTGTTAGTGAGGCAGGACTCAATTTACAAGACTGGATTGTGTCCTGAGGCAATCTCTTGAGATATAAAAGACAGAAGTGAGCAGTGAGACTGGGGACCTCATACCATCCAGAAAGCAGTGCCGGGAGCAGAGCGTGTCCTTTGGACTGGGGTCCCAGCACAGAGAAGCTCCTAGTCCAGGGGAATACCGAATAGAAGAAGGCCAACAGAGAGAAAAAGCCTTCCCCTGGAGCTGATGCCCTGAGTTTGGACTTTTAGCCTACTTTGACTGTGAGGAAATAAACTTCTCTTCGTTAAAACATTCCATTTGTGGTATTTCTGTTATAGCAGCACTAGATGACTAAGACAATTAATAAGGAGGGATTAGCTCTAACTATACACTAAAACATCCCAACAATTAGCACAGTGGCACTGGCAGCTTAATATTCAAACAGCGATAAAATACTTGAAAGTTTGTAAATCAATGCAAGGTCATACAGAAGTTTAAAATTTGGCATTTTCATTAGTGAAGGAATATAAAATATTTAGTAAACGGTATTTGGACGGTAGGTAGTACAATGTAATGTAATGTAAAGCCACAGCTGCAGAGTGATCAGTCTTTATAGAATATGTGAAGAACCTTGACTGCAGGTACATAGGAGGGCGCAGTCAGGACAGTGAATAGTTCTGCTCAAACTTCAAAACAGTGCTGTGGAGCCCTAAGCCTACCACTAACACTAAACCTAACACTAATTCTAAACTAAACCTAAACCTACCTCTAACCCTAGCCCTAGTCCTAAACTTAATCCTAACCATGAAAATCAACCTGAATCTAACTCTAATCCTAAATTAAACAACAAACAAACAAAGCCAGTGGTGAGAAATCAAATGAAGACAAAGTAGATCATCAATACTTTTAGATATAAGTGTACAAACCCCCAAACCCATCAACCCAAGGAATAAGGGGGAGGTATGTCTTTTGCTTCTTTCAGAATTTGATTAGATCTCACACAAAATGGTCATTTAAAGAGTTTGACCCTTCCTTCCTCGAATAAATCCATCTCTTTCATAGTACATATTCTTTGATTATGAAGCTGAATTTTTCCATCATTAAAGAGGAGAGGGGGAGGGCTGTGTAGAGGTGCTAATTTCCTCACCTGATAAAGTGGGAAGTTCATAGATACATATATAAAATTAAAAATTTATTTGGTTTATGTAACTTGTAGTTATTTCATGCCTCTGTACTATGGTCCCAGGGCTGTAGCAGGGCTTCTGGGAAAAGTTTTCTTCACAGAGAATAAAGAATACATGGGGAAAAAACAAAAAAACAGTACATTTTCTTTCTCAACATATTGAGTCAACATGTGGTGTCCAGAACTACAGCAGCCATTCTGGGAACATTAGGGACACTAGACTAAGAGAATAAGAAAATACACGTGAGGTATTCAGAAAAGAAAGAATAAAGAAATCTGGAATTATAATGATGTTTCTTCAGCTACACATTTAACCATTTCCATCAATGCCCTACCTCTAGATTTCATGGAGGTTAGATTCTAGCTGTCCTAAACTTAGTCCATTTTAAGTGAAGTCTTCTAATTTTGTCACCTACATTGTTATGTGTATGGTTTTTTTTTTTTTTTTTTTGCTTGTACTTGCATTGTTTTTATGATTTTAAAATATTTTCTAGAGAGTGGCAAAACATTTTCAAATTCTTAGCAAAATTAAAAGTGAGGAAGGTAGACATGGCTTGATAAAGAAAAGCCACTTGTCCAGTAGCTTAAATCATACCTAATGGTGAATCCTAGTGTCATGCCCTTGACAGACATTGTGATCATTACGATTTACTATAGTTCTTGGTCGTAGCCCACATATTGTGATCAAAAATTCTATACATTTAAATTGTACTTTAAAATGTAGTCAATGATCTTCCTCTTACCGTAACTCACAGTTAGATTTGGCCTTACCATGTCTTTTGAGTGCTCTCTTCAGGATAATTTCTCAGCATCATGTGGTCTTTCCCCAGTCCTCCTAGCTCCACAAGAGGCCACAAATCTGCAGGTCAGTATATCCATAATACACGTAATGGGATGATGGGTTAGGAGATGCTATTGTTTCCTATTATATCCTTTTCCCTGTCTGTAAAACACAAATCCAGCAAGAATCTCTTGACTGAGTGGTCAGGATAAATAGAAAAACAATTTTTACATAAGAGGGGAAGAATTTAGATTTTTAACAATTACGTATTTCCTCAGGGTTGAAAACCAAGGGGTTATGCATTCAAATTATCTACAAATGTCTATAAAACTCTATAACTATAAATTATCTGTAAGTTATTTAAAGCAATATAATTATTAAATATCTATAAATAAATTAATTATCTATAAATCAATTAATACTTGCCTGCTATATTAAAATATTAATATTAAAAAATTCTGGAAGGTCTTCACCTAGTGGTCCTAATTGTCTCTCAGAGGAATTGTTTGGGAAGAAGAGCCAAAACAATGCGTTGAGAAAGAGTTCTGCTGCCAGATATCAAAGCAAACTATAAATTATAGTCATTTTAAAGTGAGGTATTGAGTATATTTAATAAGAATAAACAGAAAGAGAAAAGAATAATGTATGTTGGAGAAACAAATTTAAATATATGTATATAAGAACAACTGTCTAGCTATTAAAAAAAGTAAATTTGACATAATTGTTATCAAAATAAATTCTCATGGTTAAAAGTTTCTAAATTTTCCAGTGTGTGGTCTTGAGGCTGGCTACTATGATATTCAGTGCTCCTTCCTCCCTGTCCCCTCCATCCCTTTGCTTTTATTTATGGGTGAAAGTCCATCTCACCCAGTAGAGTAAATGCTTTTTAGGGCAATCACTATGTAAAAATAATTTTCACATACCTCTCAGCACCTAGCTGTGTGCGGATAACACAGGACACACTCTCTCTCTACACCCATGTATATTGTCTGTTGCCTTTTGTCTTAGTTATCTAGAGCTGCTATAACAGAAATACCACAAGTGGATGGCTTTAACAAACAGAAGTTTGTTCTCTCACAGTCCAGTGGTCTAGAAGTCCAAATTCAGGGCATCAGCTCCAGGGGGAGTCTTTCTCTCTCTATCCAGAGGGCTCTGGAGGAAGATCCTTGTCACCATTCTTCCCCTGGACTAGGAGCTTCTCCATGCAGGAACCTTGGGACCAGAGGACTCACTCTGCTTCTGGTGCTGCTTCCTTGGTGGTATTAGGCCCCCCTGTCTCTCTTCTGACTTCTCTATTTTATATCTCAAAAGAAATTGGCTCAAGATACAATCCAATCTTATAGATTGAGTCCTGCCTTATTAACATAACTGCTGCTAATCCCATTTTATCCACCTCACAGAGATAGAATTTACAACACAAAGGAAAATCACATCAGATGACAAAATGGTGGAAAATCACATAATACTGGGAATCTTGGCCTAGCCAAATTGATACACATATTTTCTGGGGACACAATTCAATCCACGACACCTTTCTAACTATGTGACCCTGCCTCCATTGTATAAGAGAATTATTAATCCCAGACGAATAAATGAATCCCCACAGCTGTGCCCCTAAAGCATGCAGAAATGGAGTTCTTTATGTTAAAAGCAGCTTCATATCAGTACATTCATACCTGAAATTCAGAGCACGTTCATGGAACTTTAAAATTCAGGACCATATTTGAAGCCACTCTTTGTTTTCTTGATCCAGTAAGTATTGATTTGTGTGACACATCCTTCCAGGTCACGTGCCTGTCCTCATAATGCAATTTTACAGACCTTAACACTGACTAATGACCTTGTAGCGATGTCTCCCAGACCTATCAGAGTATATGTCATGTAGCTGATATTTAAAGACTATGTACCTATTTTTTAAGAGACATATGCTCCAAATATTATAGAATTGTGTCCAGCTATCTTTCCATGATGCTATAGCAGCAAGAGAAGGTGTATTTGATTTATACAGAAAATAATAAGTGCATAGACATATATAGTACATAAGAAATTACATGCATATTTATATAAAATATGTAAATGAGTCTCATTAACACGTTAAAAATAAAGGTGACTGGTTTTCAGGCATCAGAGATAGTCCACAACAATCCTTCGTAGCATCAGTTTTTCTTCAACACTCTTCTTCTAATCTTTGCTGTCTCTGTGCCTGTGTATGCATAAACAGTTATGCAAAAGGGTTTTTTAAATCTATGTTCTCAGAAAACAAATGGGCAAAATATTTTAATATAAATCATAGCAATTGCATACAAATACTAAAAATACTAAAATATGTTCAAAAAAACTTATAAAAAAAAGAAATTGTTTATTGAAAGAACAAGCTATCATTTCTCCACCATTTTAACCAAGAAGTGAAAGAATAAATCCCTCACCATTTTAACCAAGACATGAAAGAATAACCCCTGGTATTGCAGAGGATGTGAAAAATTACGCCTTCAAAGTTTATACAGGACATAATAAGTACATAATACTTCATACTAAGTTTGCTTCTATACATATTATTATGTACAGGAGCAAACTCGGTAAGAAGTATTGAAAAATACACTAAAAAAGAAGATTACTAATTTCTTCCTTTAAACTATCTCCAATATTTTGTAAGAGAAAAAATTGATCCTAAAAATTAAGGGAAGGAAGGGAGAAGTGAAAGGGCAGACCCCACTGCCACTCCCACCTTCCAATCCCATGGGCAAGTCTGAGCTTGGGGGAGAAGTTATGAACTTTGAAACTAGACTCTATTTGCCTTGACTGGAATATTTTATACTGGAAAAGGTCAGAAGGCTCCGAGTGTTCTTTTTCTTTCTCTCACTTCTTCCTTAAACTGCCACATCCAGTTTATTGTTGACATATGACTCTCTCAATAGCGATAACATATGGCTGGTCCTTAATAAAATCTGGAAAGAATGAATGAATGCAAAAATTTTCCTGAAAACAGTCCTCACCTGTTGGTGTGAATTAAGTGGACTTAATATTTTGGTACAAATTCTTCTAAGCCTTTTTCTAGGCCTATACACATGTACAGGTTTTTTAATGTAACAATGCTAAATAGTGAGATAATTTGATCCATGACCATCTATTAGAAGGATAGAAGGATTTGAGAGACAACAGCTCCAAGAAAACTGGAAAGTAGAAATATTTAGTTTCCTCTTATGCAGAATTGACAAGAAAACTTCCCTAGAGAATTATTCAAGCAGCCCTGACATAAAATTAAAACACACAAAACTGCTTACAACTTGTTACACTAGAAGCTGTTCTCTTAGCATCTAGTCCATTTCCCAGAAACTAAGAGCTGGTCCCTGCTTTCACTTTCAATCTGACATGTTTACAGTAAAAATAGTTTCAAGTTGTCCTGAATTAACACCAGAAATTCTTCCCCTCATAAGAAAAAGTAGAGGATGGCCAAAGACTGTTCATTGATAAAATAAATTATCTGACTGTCAAAGATAGGGAGGGAAAAGGGTTTTCTAGTCCACTTTACAGAATACAGAGTAATGAATGAACTTAATTTAATCTTCCTTGTTCAACATACTGTCTTATCATTTGAGGAAACCCAAAATTAACCAACTTCGGGCCATTGTGGTCCAATGAACTGATTTAAAACTCCATTAAAAGTATTAAAACTGTTTTTTATTCAACTGTAAAATGGGGATAATATGTATATCATAAACTTGTACTGAAGAATAAATTAAATTTAATGAATAACACCTGATAAAAATTTGGCAAGGTTCTGGTAAAATGGAGGCTTAGATAGAGGCACCATAATGACTTCAACAACAAAGACTCAAGAAACTCAGTAAAATAGACACAAATAATGACTGAGGATCCCAGAACATCAAATGGAGAGTTGAAGAACAGACTGAGCACAAATTGGAAGGAGAGACAGAATGAGACCAGTGGAAAACAGAGTTCACGGATCAACAACACCAGCTTGCAGGGATATTTTGGGATGGCATCAAGCAACAATCCCGAGTGAGGAGCCCAGGTGGGCAACGTCAAGGAGAACATAGCTGGTGTCAGAGATTCTGTGTAAATAACCCCAGAGAGATAAAACATGCCCTGGGATGGGGCACCCTTGAGAGGGTGATGTGTGGGAGTGGTATAGCTTTGAAGCCAGGGAACCATAGGGAAGTGTTACTAGAGCAAAGTGAGGCAGACTGAATCATCGGAGCCTACGGGTAGGGGACAGAATAGAGAGAGAGTGTACATTTGCGGAGGAGCAAAGGGGAGGTACAGAAGGATGGACATGAACTCTAGCCCCTCTGGTGAGTGTAAGAAGGGAAAGACCTAGGAATTAGTGCAGGGACTGCTTGTCACTGGTGGTGCCCATTCATTTAGACAGAAGACACCCAGTAAAAAGGCAACCTGCAGAGTAACATCTTGAAGCCCTCCTCCCAGAACTAGCACTGTGCAAACCACCATCCTATCCTGTCTCTGCAGGCTTCTCCTCACTCCCCTCCACTCCTAGAGGTGCCTGCTGTCTGTGCTAAGGACCACAAGCCCCACTCTGCCCCCTCCCCTCCCTGAGGTGCAGGCAGTCTGCGCTAATGCGCATAGTCCTCACCCCATGCCCCTCCCTTCCCTGAGGTGCAGGCTGTCTGTGCAAACCCAGGCAGGCTCCATTCTTCCCCTACCCACATAGTGGATGTGCGGGACTCCACTCCTCCCCCTCCCACTCAAAGACCCCTCCCAACTAAATGGAACTCATGCCCTGTCCCATCAGCAAACCCCGGGCCAAGTGGAACCCCAGGCCCTACTCTGCTGACCTACCCCTGGCCAAGTGGGATCCCATGCCCTGCTGACACCACCTTGGGACACCACCCCATGCCCTCGCCTGCTGACTCCTCCCCAGCCACGCAGGCCCCCACACCCCATCATACCTTCCCTTCCCTGTGACCCATACTGCACTTCCGGGTTGCACTAACTGCTGATGCCAATACAGAAAGAATGTAATATCTCTCAAGAGCCGTGAAAGGATCCTGACCACCGGACACCTGGAGCCTCACATCAGGAAAAGGACCATTCTCACACAATGCAATCCTCTAAGTCATACGCGCCTAACAACATAGGACCCCTATGTGTGTGGCCCACCATACCCACCAGTGAGAAGAAAA